ATTACACTTTTAATGATTATTATTAATAGATAAAGGTGAACTGAACAATATTAATACATTTTCAAAAAGTTTGAAGTCAAAGAAACTAACTTTGCTCTTTCTCAAATTTTCCTATAATTTTTAACAAAGATACACTTTATAATTTCAAAGATATTACTATAAAGTCATGGCACATTAAATTATGTTAAGTAAAATGAAAATTCATAAAATTAGTAGAATATTTGTGTGTTCTTTTTTTTATGAGGCCATTGTTTGAAATTTTTCATGACTCATTTCTTCAGGGTTGGGCAAGCTACACAATGCAAATGAGTAAAATTGGATGGGTGGGGAAAATCATCCACCAGAAATGTAAACTATTTTAACAATATTATACAAAATTACATTAAATGCTCTATTTTAAGTTTAAAGTGGAAGCAAATAGACTAATATTAGATGAGTTTAATGACTAGGATTTCCTTTTGTTATTCATTACACCTCTGGTTTGACTACAAAAAAGTTTTGCCTTTTCTCCTGTTGGAGTATCAACATGGGCTCCATGTATTCTGTTATAATGAATCTTTTAATTTTAGGCAACAACTGGTTTTCTTCAGTTTACAATCGAAAATAGATGTTCTCGAGTATGGGTACTTCCAAACATATGTAAAATATTTGCATATGAGTTGGGGCAATTTGTCAAATTCTGGTTTTCAGAATCTTCTCAACTTAGGTTGTTTGAACTGTATCGCATGGTAATTTAGTCATTCTTCATGATCTATCTCTTTTTTTTATTTTCATTTTTAAAGAATTTGGTCTTTAAATATAGAACTTGGAAATATATTTCAAGGCATCTTTTTTGTGTGTGTATTTGTGGGGCCATCAGTATAAGATAATGAGCCAAATGTTCTGTTCCATTTTAATTTCCCTAAGATAAAATGTCTCTGAGAATGAGTTCTTCAAATGCTAGATTTGTAATACTAATGAAAAATTATTGTGTAAACATTTAAACAATTTTGAAGGTTACAAGATCAAGCAAGAAGAGCCAAGTTTTGGGTTGTGTTTTCATTGGTGATGATGTTCATTTCAAGAACAAGCAATTATTTTTAGGGGAGGGTGTGTCTTTGACAACATGCCGTATCAGAACTACTAATGTCTGTGTAGTGTGCTAGACTAATAACTAAGACTGCAAATCATCAAGAACAGCATTAAAATTAGTTCAAGCTATGTATGCATCTCCATAGGAAGTTCTTCGCTACTCTGTGAATTGTTTAATCCTTAACAAGTTCAGCTTAGAGATACATGGTGAATGATCAGGCAACACATGTGAAGTTCCTATCCTTGTAAATCTTGTCTTATAAGTGTTTATCTTGGATTTAAGTCTCATACTACTATAGAAGTGACACTATTATATATGCTCACCAATTAAATTACTACATTCAACTTTCAGAATTTTTCCTCACAAAATAAATAATGTTACCAAGTTGTTCCTGTCATGGCACCTTGCCTCAAAGTAGTTGGGTCACATCAAAATTCTCATTTATAGTATTAATAATGTCATTGAATAGGTTATAATTATTTCTGGGCTCTGATAAGCTTCTGTAGAAGGCTCAAACACACCTTAACCTTTAAAATAATTTGTATGTTCTCAAGTCTATTCTCTACTCCCTATACTGTATTTCTAGCTATACTTATATTTTCAAATACTTGTTTCTGTTTGAGATTCTAAATTTCTGCTATCCTCCATAGATACTTCTTCATGAACTTATCAGTAATAAAATGCTTTGATAGCTGTGCAAATTTTTTTAAGTTAGTATACATTTGCATTTTACTATAGCATCACTATTTTTTATTTGCATTTCAAAATAAAATCCTGTCTAAATATCAGCTTTTTCAGATAATTAAGCTTTTAACATACGTCTTACTGTGTTTTGGTTAGAGTTATTTTTCTTCATATTTGTGAATTAAATGGTTCTTTTCACAGAGACATGATATGCTGGCATATCAAATACATGGATAATCAACATTTCCACAAGTAATATATATTTCTATCTTTCATAAAACAGAGGTCCTCTCACCTTATCTTATATTCTCATAGAGACATGGATATAAGAAAAATCCCCTCATTTCTGTCAGATGAAAAATAAAAAGCAAAAGTGCTATGATAAAAATGGCTGACTCTTGGCTTCAGTGACAGGGAGAAAATAGTGGACCATGAGTACAAAGAGACAAGAGACCATGTGCCGTTTAAGAGGGTAAGCTACAATCAGTTTAAGCTCATGGATGCTAAATGAGAATGGGGGTAGTTTTCCAAGTGAACGTGACACATGGAATTGCATATGAAATATTTTGCCAACATTTGGGTGAGCTAAACACAAAATACTCAGGGATCAGTTGGTGAGTCTGCTTTAGGACATTGGTTTTTACCCATAAGACCATTACCTCATTACTACCCTATTTATGACTAGGTTTTCTCCAAATAGCATCTCATAATTAAAAAAAAAATTAACACTACCCTTAGAGAATGAATATTTTATTTTTGTTGATGACATACAAAAGAGGATCTATTCTAGGCTTTCAAGCAAATTTTTAAAAGTTTTTGAATTAGCAATGAATACAAGCAGGCACTCAGCAGTCACTTGAGTATGTCAACCTTTTGTGTCTTAATGATCTCTTCCGAAATATGCAGAAAGAATGTTTTCTTTTGCTGTGGACATTAAATGAGAAGAACATGTGATCTTAGTATTATTTCTTTGCCCATTTAAAATATAATTTGTTTATCAAAGCTGTTTTATGTTTACAGCAAAAACGATCAGAAAGTGGAGAGAGTTCTCATAGACTCCTACCCAACACAAGTTTTAGCCTACCCTACCTTCAATATCGCACACCAGAGAAGTACAATTGTTATGGTCCATGAACCTGCATTGACAGGTCTTTATCACCTTAGAGTTCACTCTTGGTGATATATCCAACCATTATAGGATCATAAAGTATTTCCACTGCCCTAAGTTTTTTTTTTATTTTATTTACCTATCCATGTCCTTTCTCCTTCATTTTCTAGAATATAATATATTTGGAATCATCCAGTATGTAGCCTTTTAAGACTGGCTTCTTTCACTTAGTAATGTAAACTTAAGTTTCTCTTATGTTTTTCATGTCTTAATGGCATATTTCTTTTTCGAGCTGAATATATTCCATTGTTGAGATATACTACATTTTTGCATTTATACACTAGAGAATATGTTAAGCTACTATGAATGTCCATGTGCAGGTTTTGTATACACAAGTCTGAGTGAAAACCAAGAACAATTACAGGATATTTAACCCATTTTAAACTGTGTGTTAATTTTTTATTGTTGAATTTTAAGAGATCTTTACATATTTTGTATGACAATCCTGTTTCAGCTATGTCTTTACAAACATTTTATTCTAGATCATGGTTTATATTCTCCTTCTTTTGACAGTGTCTTTCCAGAGAAAAATTAGTTTTAATTGATGTTTTGCTAATCTACTCTTCTTTCATGAATTGTGCCTTTAATGTTTTATCTAAAAAGTCAATGTTACACCAAGGTCATCTAGATTTTCTTCTCTGTTTCCTCTTTGTATTCTAGCAAACAAAGGTGATTTACATTGAGGTTTCTGACCCATTTGGAATTAGTTTTTGTAAAGTATGTAAAGTCTGGATTCCCATTGATCTACCTTAATGTGGCAAATACTAATTTAAATAAGTATACACCATTTAAAAATATATGTACTCAGTGGTGGACACCTGGTTATTTGTAATAGCATTTATGCTTTTTCATGAATCAATATTTTAAATATATTAATATAAATATGTATATGTACATAGATAAATTTTCAGCTATGCAACTTGATAGTAGTAGTATGGCACAGAATAAAGTATATCCTAGTTTTGCATTCCAGCTTTACAATTTACCAACTGTGTAAGTGGGGGCATGATACTTAGTCTTTTTATCTCTAAACTGCCTCAGCTATACAATGATATAATAGTTGAACTCATTGGATTGTCTTAAATAAACACATGATTAGCAACATATAACTATTAAATATTACATTATTTTAGTCACCTCTTAAAATAAATGAATTATTTGTAAATACACAGATATTTATATATATATGAAATTATGAAATTCATATACATTGACAGTAAACATGAACAGTAGGAGGAGAAATAAAGAAATTTCCTCATGGTCCTGACATCTAGAAATAGCCGCAATTAAGAATTCAGTGTCTTTATTTCTGTTTTTTTTTTTTTTTCTTGATTAAGGACTTTTCTTTTACTTAGTTATGTTCCTATTATGTTTATACTATACATACAATCTGATATACTGGTATGTTCTTTTCCCCTTGATATTATGAGGAGAATTTTTCCATTTTTTAAAACAATAAAGACTGTTTCAAGTAGACAGAAAACATTTCACACATTTTTTTTTTAAACATCATTGGCTATTTAGGTCTCATTTTCTGTTTTTTCAAATAACCTTGAGGAACATTCTGTAACAAAACTTATTTCCTTAGGTACTTGATTAAGCAAATATTATTTTTAAAGACATATATTGCATATGCATGGATATTAATGAAAAAACTTAAAAGTCTGAGTGAGTAGATACAGTATAAGTTGCAAGTAAGGAAGCTTTATATAAGGATGAAATAATTGTACCTTAACACAATACAGAGTGCTTGAAAAGATGAAGTTAGCTAAATCTCTAACAAATATAATTTATATTCCAATATGCATAATCTTTATTTGCATGAACTACACATGAAGATTAATGTCATTAATTTGCAATAACATCTGTGTCATATAGCTAAATATAGAACAAGGCCTATATTTGGGAGGGAGGATGCATTCTATTTATATGTCCAATTTGAGGTGCAATCATTGTGGCAAGAAGTAATATTAATTCATTAGAATGAGAAACATGACTGAAAAACTTAAACAATAAGTTGCAATGAATTTGGAATTAGCCTTGGAATCCCATTCTAGGCTTCTCAATTTTTTCTTTTAAAGTATGGAACACTTCACGAATTTGTGTGTCATATTTTGTGCAGGAGCCATGCTAATCTTTTCTGTATTGTTTGGGTATCTGTGCTGGGAAGACAAGCATCTTCTCAAACTTATTACCACCAAAAAATATTCCATTCATTGTCTCTGACTTCCCCTGTTGTATTCTCAATCCAATTCCTGTCTTATGGCTTTTCCTATAAAATAAGTGGCACTATTATATAGTAAATATTTTTCTCACTTACACTCAAAGATATGAAGCTTTCAATCACTGCTTCTTGTGTGTAAGATAACCAATATGATCTCATGAGCTGACAGAATTCCAGCCAAAGGCAAAGAAACTATCCATAACTCGTGCAGAATTATGCCCAAAGAATGTCATCTTCATTGGGATTCTTGAACTACCGAAATTATCCCAAAGAACCACCTACTCTTTTAACATGAGATCCATCTGGTTTCTAGAAAGGACAAATGCCTTGAACAACGCCATGTGTTTGGGCTTTTATTCTGCTATATTAGTACTTTTCTATGTTGGTATTTTAATAATTTATATAGATTGTAATTTAATTATTTATAATAATTTACCAATTCTAGTGAATAAAATTATAATGAAAAGAAAAATAAGAGAATTGACAGTTCAATTATAGGTAACGCTGATTTCATAAATTTGAAGAACATTATCATTACTGACATTAGTTTCGTCCTGTTCTGCTTTACAAATGCACATGTTTTCATTTGTATATGTATGTCAATTTTCTTTACATACGAAGGCTCTTTTTTTTTTTTTCTTTCTGGAAGGGCTAGGTAAATGAGATAAACAGAAAGTAAGAAAACTGGTCACCATAGACATCAATATTTGAAAATGCTAATCCATCATTGGTTCCTAATTACCAGTGTCCCACAACAGTGAAGGCCTATCTTAGGGAGCCTTACAATTATCCAGACCACATCAATGATATCAATGCAATGAATAAAGAGTAAGTTCTGAGCCTTTTAAGTGCTTAGCATTTTGTGTTTGAACAATAAAATTAAGGAGGAGTTCTTAATGTCAGCGATTTTATTGAAGAGGGTAGGGACACATTGGCATTTCTAAAGCTTTAAAAATTAGAAGTTTGCTTCATCTCCTTCCAAAGAATAAAATGTGTAACACAATTTCTGCAAAGCAGGCTTTATATGAAGCACTAACATTTAACCTAAATACATTTATCTCTTAGTACATCAAGTTCTTAATTGCCAAGCATATATTACCAAACTGAAATTGAAGATAAATGAATATTTTATGTGTAGTCTCCAAAGGGATAAGAATTAAAAATTAAATTAAAAGGCACTTGCCAATGCTTTAATTTGCCTGTTAAAAAAGCAAACACAAATATTAGATGCTGACTATATTTTAAATTCCTAAATATAACTCAATTTCAGTAGTAGTAATTTGTAACTAAACAGGATTTTCTTGAATCTTACCAGAATATAATGCTGGTAAGTACAAAATGGTAACTGCTTTTAACTTCTTCAGTTCTGCTTTTCAATAAAAGTGAGACCAAACTGAGAAGCTAATTAATTTATTAATTAGCAGTTTATTAATGCTGTTCAGTTGCAAAATTAACTAGCATTTTTGGATACTTATTATATCCTATGCTTTCCTCTAAGTACTTAACATATATCAGTACATTCCTGTTTATAGGACAGAAGACTTGAGGCACTGACAAGGGAGTCACATGCTCAGGGTCAGTTAATAAGTAGCAGTCTGAAGTTAGACCTCCTTTGCCACAATATCTATACTATATTGTAATGTAATGAAGCCTCACAGTACAGAATATTTGCAGACTGACAAATTTTAACTCATTTCTCACTAACCTAGAATGTATCATACATACCCTTTGATATTTTGAAGTTCCAAAGATAGAATGAAGATTAGGTTTAATTACCTAGAGGGTCTTTAAAAATCACTTTCATAGAAGAGAAATATCAGCACGAATGCCAGGAAATCACAGGTTACACTACTTTGTTTAATTCTTTTTTATAGGAAATTAAATCACGTTGTGCTAAATCCATAAAACATAGGCTGTTATCCATGGGTTGCTTTGAATTTTCTTTAAATTCCTTCTGCAGCACTGTATTTATCTCAAGGAAGTAAATCCCTTTAAACCTTTACTTTGTGGCTATCTGCCATGTGGTCTTATTACCTAGAGGGTAAACCCAATGTTTAACTGTGTCCCTCTATTTGCCTTAAATAAAAGAAAACCTTAATATGACAATTATAGTCAGTTCTCAATTATCTGTTGTCATGGGACAGAGACCACAATAGTGAGGATAATTTTAAATCCATGAATAATTAGAAAGCCTAATTTTTCCATTATTTTCATTCCTCCCCTAAACAAATCTTTCTTGTCTGAACCAAAAGTGGGTAGAAAAATAGACTTAATCAACTATTACCTTTGTGTTTTTTAATGTTTCTGATACAAAGTGGTGAAAAGGCTAATTGCAATAGCAATTTATCCAAAGGTGTTCCACAAACTGAATGGGAAAAGTAAGCTATTGGGAAGGGAACAAAGTATAAAAACTTGTATTATTCATTCATTGGTTAGGAGATTCTTAGGTGAATTTGGAGGGGGGGGGCATAATGAAAGTTAGGTCTTACATGAATTTTCCTGAGAAAGAGGCCATATCCCCCAAATTTGAAAAGTTTTAAATTTATTTATTTATTTTTTAAGCTGTGATCAGCTCTGCAGTCATGGGGCTGACACCATTCGGTGCTCTAGGGTTATTAGCACCCCCATTGACATCTGGCAGGATGCCTTCTGTCTAGAACCTTATAGCCAATCAGAGTTGATGATATTGTATTAATGGTTCCATAATAAAATGAAAAAGATGGCCTTCATTTTGATGAAAGCTGTAAAGTAGCTATTGTGCTTGTTTGGTATTGCAAGGCCCAAATGTATTATTTATGCAATTTTTCTTTTGAAAGAAAAACTGAAAGAGCAGATTTCATTTTACAGCATTCAGTCAAAGCTATTGTCTCATGAATGTGAACATTTCTGCATTTTATTTCCTCAGAATGTAGAAGGCACTTTTCACAGATCATCTAAGTAGGGATTTAAAAGTTTAAAAACTGCTTTTAAAATGGTAAGCCCTAATGACTGGATCTATTGTTCAGCCTGGTCAATAGGCTAAATCAACACTTGCCACATGAGAACTTACACTTAGTTGAAGGTATAATTTTCAAGGTCTTAGCTAGTCATTAAGACTTTATTTGTTTTAGGAAAAGACCAAAAAAGTCAGTAATTTTATCATAGAGCTATTTATCTAGAAGAAATGTACATAACAATAAAATGTCTTAAAAATCCAAAATTTTGTGTGTAAGTATTTCATTCTGTAATTGTTATTTAGTAGTTTTGTTCTACAAAAACATGATCATACCCAAGGAAGGTACAAGAAAATAATCCAGTTCTACAAAATGAACAAAAGCAAAATCAAACTTGATAATAAAATAATACATTATTTTTTTTCAGTTATTTTTATATCTGGTATCCTATTTAATGTCTTATAAAAATGACAAAATTAGGTATTAGTACAGCTGCTTATCAGGTAAAGCTCCTAAGAGATGAAGTAAATTGCCCAAAGAGACAGAACAATTTAAGAGATGGATCTGCAAACTGTTTCTTGTTTTCTGATTCCAACAAAGTTGTTCTCACTGCCCTGTGTTTAACTTTCATCAGCCCAGCCCTTTTTTCTATCTGTGATGAATCTGTATATAAATTTTCAAAAGGCATATTTTACTACAGATTCATCTAGTAATGCTGAAGGCTTTCTACTTTAGAATTAATAACCAATTAAAAGCAAATAAATATGTCTTTAAAAATAAGAATAAATGCTAAACCTCATAATCTCATGCCAAGAAAAACATTAAATTCTGCTTGGTTTCTTTTCTTTTCTCATCTTTCTCTCTCTCTCTCTCTCTCTCTCTCTCTCTCTCTCTCTCTCTCTCTCTCTCTCTCTCTCTCTTTCTTTCCTTTGTCTTAGAAAGATATTTACCTTGGGAAGTTTTATTTTTTTTCCTCCTCAGGTGGGTCTCTAGGGAATTATTTTCCAGTCTTCTCTCAGTTTTTTTACTTTCTTTGGTAATAGCAAAAGACTATTAGTATGAATTATATGCTTGTGAAATTAACGAATAAATAAAATTTCCTGGAATGTTGAGTGTTAGCTCAAAATTCATTTTGAAAATATCTTAAGGCTTACTTGAATTTCCACTAAGGACTAGATTAAGGAATACCATTTTGTCATATTACAAAATAGTTTATCTAACAACGGGGCAGCAGTCTATATGAAGTTTAGATATGGATCTAAGTATAAAAATAAAAACTACAAAACCTGTGTAAGATGACATATGAATCTTTGGTTTCATAAAGACTTTATTGATAAGTTGGACTTCCATTAAAATTTAAAATTCCTGATGAAAGAACCAGTTAAGAAAATGAAAAGATAAATCATAGACCAAGAGAATAAATTTTCAAAAGGCATATTTTACTACAGATTCATCCATAATACACAAAGAACTCCTAAAACTCAAGAATAAGAAAACAATGTAAAGGATTTAAAAATAGGCCAAAAAAACTTTTTTAAAAAAAAGCTCACAAAGAAGATATACAAATGGAAAATAAATATATTAAAAGGTGTTCCATATTACATGCCATCTTGGATATGCAAATTAAAGACAATTAAGTCAACTGTACATCATTACAATGACCAAGATCCAGAACTAATGTGAAGCAACAGAAATTCACAATCTTTGTTGGTGGTAACGCAAAATGATAGTTGATATGGAGAATGGTTTGATAATTTTTAAAAATTACAAATACTCTTAATATAGATCCACCAGTTTTGTTCCCTGGTATTTGTAAAAAGGTGTTAAAAACTTGTGTGCACATAAACACCTGCACATAGATAATTAGAGCAGTTTGATTCATAATTGCCAAAGCCTGGAAGCAAACAAGATGTCTTTTAGTAAGTGAATAAATAAACTCTGCTATATTCAGACAATGGAATATTACTCAGACCTAAAGAGAAATGAGCTATCGAGCCATGAAAAGATATAGAGGAAACTTA